AACATTGAGACACAACCGACACCTTTGTGCAACTTGAAGAGTCAAAAATCACTATTAGTCATAGGTGCTACTATGTACCACAGAGACGATCAAACTACTATTTAAGCTTCACTACACATCACTTTGGTCTTGTTGTCATTCATTTATACATCACCTTATCCTCTCAAAATGCCTGCACGACGAGTTTCAGGAAACTGCGAAAAGTGCCACATGCCTTACAATTCTGCTAGAGCATTGAGGACCCACTATGCAAACTCGACTTTTTGCGAGCCCAAGAAAGCAAGAACAGAAGACACTCCCTTATCGAATAGTCAAGAACGATCCCAGGCAAGCATGCATTCACAAGACGATACTCCAACGGCTACCGCAAGTAATCAAGGAAATCAGTCATTACAGCAGCATGCTGCAGAGCAAAGAATAGAACGTGAGTTGTGTGAACTATAAGCAATGCATGACGTACCGTTCTAACTCCCATCTAAGTGCCATCAATTGAGTCCTTTTCATACTACAGTAGCTTCACTCTTGAACAAAAGGAAGGCCTTCGACATGTATATGATCTTGACACCCTCTCTTACGCCACTGATTTTAATGAAAGTGAATTGCTTTCATTGAAGCTCCGTGACATATTCGACAAGTATCCAGCATCGAGAGAAATGAGTCGTGAAAGTATATACTTTACAAATACAATCATTAAGAATATAGCAGAGGCAGGAGGTGGCACTGAAAGAGGTAAGCATATGAATACCACTATGCATTGTATCTTCAAACGCACTCACCATATTGACATCTCCCTTTAATGCACAAAGGCATTGTGTTTCCAAAGCTGATTCAGTTCGATACTCTAGAGGCGCGCATGAGAAAGAAGACTGGCGTACAAGCATTCATCTACAAGGTCTGTCCTCAAGGCTGCAAAGTTTATCCCAAGAACGATACATCAGTCCAAGGAGTGTGCAATCACTGTGGAACTCCCAAAAGCGAAGCACAAAATATGAAGGTCTTGAGCATCGGTGATCAGCTAGCAAGAGTCTTGAGTGACAAGTCCAAACGAGATGAGCTCATGTCGTATCGACGTAACTACCAACATGATCCACATTTTTACCGAGACTACTTTGACGGTCAAGAGTACATTAACTTTCAACAAAGACGGAAAAGACATGGCACCAACGTAGATGAGGAACCTATTCTGCTTGCCTTGTATGTCGACGGCTTCAAACCCCAAAGCAACTCTTTTGCTGGCGATACCTTAACGCTATTCCACGTTGTAATTTTGTCAGCCCCTCCACACCTCAGGTGAGTTATCTCTATTTGTATGGGTATAATATCCAATTAGTACCGGATTCTAACCACCAACGATATTGCATTTATGTCTACCAACCCACAGATACTTGGATGACTGGACCGTTCAGACAATGATTGCACCCGGCAAGAAGGCTCCAGTGGATCTTGAAAGCTACTTGGCTATTTTTGTGGACGAAATTCGTGATCTTAGTGAACATGGCATGCTGGTTCGAGTGAATGGTGGTGAAGTTGCCCGAGTAAGCGTTCATTTGGCAATGGCGACAGGCGATCTTGTAGAAGTATCACATTTGATGTTGCATGGAGGAGTCTCCAGTCAGTTTGGCTGTATGAAGTGCCTCATAGACACACAAGGAGGCCAATGCTTTACTCGCACAATCAGAAATTTCCAATACAGAACTCTCGAACAACTGAAAGCACCACTGCCTGTTGGCGTAAAACATGTGTTTGTAAGTGAAGCGATTTCATTAAACAATCATGTATAGTTCTTGTACCAACCATCATCTCTTCTATAGAACATCAAAGGACCATCCATATTTACCACTCTCAAGTCTTTTCCTGCCAACCCATCGTTCTACGGTCTCGACACACTTCACCTACTGAGCATTGGATTAGCTAAGCATTTGTACGAGCTCTTGTCTTCTCCATTGCATCCATCCAAGTTTGATAACCGATACAAGCCCTCTATCGAAGAACTGAAAGAAGCAAAGCTTGATAAAGCAAGTGCCTGGCCTTACACCTTTGATTTAGATCCCAAAGTTCTGGCAAAGATCGGTCAGTATGTGGCTCAGTCAAAGAAGACCATTCCAACTACCTTCAATGCACCATTCAACGACATTTTTGCACCAGGAGGAGTTACCAACTACCGAGCAGTTGACTATGAAGAGTTCATGATTTTCATTGTTCCAGCCCTGATAGCACCACACTATCCTGACTCAATCAGAAAACCTCTTCTGGGTATCGTTAAAGTGGCAGCTTTGGTATTGCAGAAGAATGAATTGCATGCTTCAGACTTACAATTCATAGAAGCGTAAGTATTGGCATCTTGAATAACAAAACCCGTTTTATCCACAGACTAAAAACTTACTTCTTTCTATCTCTGCACAGTAAGGTTAACGATTGGCACAAACTGCTGATCACTGAAATCAAAACCAAACGCCTTCCTATCAAGACCTTTCGACCAAACGCCCATTATTTAGGACACTTGACTTACATGATCAAAGCGCAAGGTTTACCGGCTTCGACTTCCAGTCGATCTATCGAAAGATCCATCGGCAGGTACAAACGCTTGATAAGTGCTCGCACAAATGTTGGTATAAATGCCGGAAACATCATTGATCGTTTGGCAATTATGCGAGCCATCAAGGCATCTACAACTGGTGATGGTACAGGCGATGGTGAAGACAAACTGAATGATCTGGATGCTCGAATCAATCTCTTAGTGCCTCGACGATACGATCCAACTACCTTCGTAAATCTAAAGAATGACAATGGCAACGGAAGTCAGCTCTGGTATCCAGTCATCCACACAACGGTTTCAAGTATCCCAACCTCCATCAACGTCAACACACCTCTTTTTGTCAAGGCTATACAGTCCTACTACGACCGGCAATACTCAACTAATGTTCTGCAGAATGTCCATATCAATGATCAACTGGATATTGTCGTCTCTGGAAGTGCCTGGGCTTACAACTGCACTTATCGTTCAGAATACTATCGCGATCTCACCGGTGCTAATTCTAGAGGAAGCCACTACATCATGGTATGGGCAGAACACTTGAGGTATGCCAATTCACAGGTTCATTATTGCCTTTATCGTTACTCATCAAAACCCACATTGACGTCTGAATTTCCTACAGTAACTCTCGTCGCAAGGTCAAAGCTTTCTATGTAGGGGCTGTTATTTTCATGTTCAAGCTCGAAATTGAGGGGATTGGCGATGAGTTGTTCTTGCTTATTCGATTAGGAAAGACTCATGCTGTTGACGACAAAGACAAGACGATGCCCATAGTGGAGCTGGATGATGACCAGGATTCATCCGCATATCTGGTGTGCACATTTGAGCAGGTCATTTGCCAAGTTGGTCTGATGCGTTTTAGCGAGAATGACAAGAGATATAAAGTGATAACGAAGGAAAAGGTTTTCCGGGCCTCGATAGAGACTTATAAACCTGGAAAAAACTCATTTGTGCTACCTCAATAATAAAGATAAATATAGATTTTATCATCGTATTATTACCCCCAACAAGTTAACAGACATTCAGCTTCATGATGTCGTTCTCCTCTTCTTCGCTTCTTCCCTTTTAGCTTCTGACATCAAAGACATCCCATTCATCTCACTACACAACGCTCAGTTCCTTTAGTATGTGCCGAAAAGCACCATTAATTGCGGAGTAGGTGCCCCAACCTTAACTTGAGTAAAACACTAGTGCGAATAGCACTGTTACCAGACAATGGCATCTTAAAATTGTATGAAATTCCTATTTTTCCTTCATTCAATTGCCAATGCTTTTATGTCTCACCCTTGCTATTAAAACCTAAGCGTGTATACAAAACAGATTCCGACAAATGTCTTCTTTTTTGCCGTCTCCCTCACCTTCCATTCTTTATTGAATTCTTCCTTCTGTTTTCCCCTCGTCCTACTATTACTTAAGGCTTTGAACACTGATTTTTTGCAAATATCAACGAAACACAAGGGCCACGATGGTTAAAATTCCGCCCACAACAATCTTTTTGCTCTTGTAAACCGGAAAGGTTCTATTGAGCTGTTTCTCCCGTATCTCTAAGATGATTTTTACCACTTTTAGCATCAAATAGGTGTTTCCTACTGCTTTTAGCGCTGAATACGCTGCTAGCTCCTACTTTGAAGCGGTATTTTAAATACAAAAGACTTTCAAGATCCAACGCAAATATGATTCTGATAAATTTCAGTTTTCCCCTTTCCTTCATGGTTTATACGGTATTCTTCAATGAATGTTTACTTGATCTCTCTTAGTTTTGATAGAATAGTGATAGATCTGCCGTTCAATTGTACACATAGGAAGGTATTACGAAAAAACCGAGAAAAACTTTAGATATTGATATTGTGCTTAATTTCCTGCCTAAACATGCAGAACAAAAAAGCTATATAAGAACTAGACACCTTGATAAACACAAAAAAAACTATCCTGAACACCGCATGTGCAACAATCAATTTTCAACTGCGAGATAAAGTGTTTAGAGGCCATTCTCTTTAGATTTGTTCCGGAAACGTATATAACAAACTAGATGTATAAGAAGAGGAAACATTGGGCAATCGTATTATTATTCTTGAGCACCCGATGACCCTTTGGGAATTCATAAATTGACATTTACTCGAAAAATATGCCTAATTTGCTTCTTTTTACATATGTTTATAGATAGATTTTGAAACCTTCGTTAGGCTATAACAAACTATACGTGCTGCAATCTTTATTTCAAAGTTTTATATACTCAAAAAAATGTGTTTTTGTGTAATATATTTTGTCCTTACTTCCTCAAATGGTTAAGCATTTGATGTACCTCCATTTTTTGTGATACCACTGATAATTCTTTATTGAAAAAAAATCCAATGCACCTTCAAAACCCCAATTTTGGTGCAAATGATCTAAGTCTTGGTGCTTTTGCTCTAAACTTGGTGTATTTGCACCAAGGTTTTCGCCGTAGTGTAGTACCATAACCAGGCCCCTACGCTGTTATACAACTCCAGAACATGACCCCACCGTCATTTCCCTGCACTTGAGGCTTGACTTGATGAGGCTGCATGGTTCGGTCACCATTCGTCCAGTAAAAAGAATTACCATCTGAGCCCCAAAGGTTTATTCTTGTTTCATCCGAAAACACCCAACGACGCCAATCAGCAATAGTAAGATGCCTATGCTTTTTAGCCCACGCCAATCGAAGCCGCTTGTTTGTCTTGCTAACAAAATTGGTCTTTACTTTTCTACGAGATTTAAGTCCATTTCGTCTCAATGACTTGCGGATGCCATTAATTGACATATCATGGCCCATCAATCTTAAACTTTCTTGTGCTGCTCGGGGACCATCTAAAGCACCTGATCGAAGTTCTCTTGACACTAGGGACATAGTTTTAGCACCAAGTTTTTTCGGTCTTCCGCCAAGAGGTCTAGCTGGGTCAGGGCAATATAGTTTTCTGAGCCTTGTAAGAGTAGAGTTACCCACTCCTGGATACAAATTTTTTATCTTTGAGAACGAAAGATCACGTTGGAGCAAAGATTGGAGAATGTTGCGCAAATCTTGTGTTAAACGAGCAGGCATAATGAAAGTTTTGAAAAAAAATAAGAAAGCAAAAAAATAAAGAAAAAAATATGAAGAAATTAGCTTCTTTTATACTTTTAGAATGCTCCTCGGGTATTAAATAGTCTGAGCATACCGCGGGTAGTTTTTTAGATCTCTCCGATACGTTTATCGGAAGTAAAGATATCAACCATTTTATATTCTCTAGAATTATCCAACTAACATTTTTGCCACGTCTCACTTTAGCTGGTTATACTGGGATTAAAATATAGTCCAGCCATAAGGTTTTTATGTTGCTGTAATTCCTATAAGCTGCTCTATCGAACGCAGTATGGGGTAGATTTGTTTTCTGAGATTTGGCAATATACTGGGTAAAAGTCAAGATTATTTGAACGAACGGGACAGTTTTTCCCCCTACAGTAGTTTGTATGGCCGTTGCTGCTCTGCACTAAGCGCCTTCCATTGGGCTCCAAGTTGCTGCAAATGGGCTTTGCGCTCTGATTTCAGGATTTTTTTTGCCTTGAATATGTTTCTTCTGATACATACTCCAGCCACTGAGCTTTGTCTTGATTGCTTGGGGAGGCTTGAACTCTCCAATAAATTTTGTGTGATGCTCGTAGCACACATGTGCTCCAAGGTATCGCTTCACTTGGTCTTTGGTGAAGGCTGCATTTGTTTCAGCGAATTCATTTATCAAGAGGTCCACTTTTTGGAATAATGGTCTCAATAAGACTTCATCCTCACTTCCATACATGAAGAACGACTCAGTATTACTGTGTTTGTCTTTATCCTCATCTTCATCTTCATCTTCGTCTTCATCTGCGTCCTCATCTTCAGGCTTTACAGTTAGGCGAGTGCCGTCGCTGTTATCACTCCAAACGTCCCCAGCATCTTGTTCAATGATTGATTCATCATCGGAGCCACGACCAGTCTGCTGGCCCGCGTAATCCATCTCTCATTCTAAGACGCCAAAATAGTTTTTAATTAATTTAATCATTTTAATGTATAAAGAAAGAAAGAAAGAACAAAAACAAAGAAAATCTCAAATGTATTTATAAAGATGGCTTGCTCTTAACGAGAACTGTATAATTGCAACGGCTTATCAACAGAAAGTATAATCCACAGCTTTAACAACGCACCCATGAAGCGAGATCAATTCATAAATAGAAGCATGCGAAGATTTCAAAAGTGGTACAAACCCGCTTGTGCTTCTCCCTTATGATAAACAGACAACACTCGTCATTCCCCTTGAAAATGTACTATAAGAATTTGAGTTGTTCCACAGTTGCGTAACGCCGCTTTTGTCCAACATTAATTATCAACTGGGTTCTGAATGGCAACAAATCTTTGTTTATTTAAGAAGTGCAATTTTAATGCAGACAATCACTGTACTAAGCCGCTACTTTGACGAATAATACAACGAAGCCATAATAAACGTAGGCATAGGCATATATGAGAGTTGGCAGAGGCACACAGAAAAGTGGGCAGAGATGTATCTAAAAGTGGGCAGAGGTGTAAATGAATATAGGCGAGAAAGGTATTTATGGGTTGAAATGAACAGCGTTTTCATTGGATTTGTTAAGCACAAAGAATAAAAGGATTATTATTTGTAGCTTATAAAAAATGTTCAATATTATAAAAACAAGAAAAGACTTATTTGAATAAGATCAGACACAAAAACTAATGATTTATTGATGAAGACAAGAGTTATTCTATTTATACTAAGTTCTGAATGCCAAAGTAGCAATTTATCTTGTACAACGCTTATCACATCTGGTGAACCTCAGTATTTAGATAGCTGAGATGCACTTCACTTATCATAGCTTGTCCATGTTGTTGCACAACACAGACATATCTACCCATCAAGAATACCTTAATCTTTATAGACAGTTGTAGCCCTTCTGGCACAACATTGCCCCCCCAGATTCAGGTACTTCTTGTGGACATTTCGTAATCCCAGATTACAAAACATCATGACAATATAGCACATAAAGCACTTTCCAATAAATAATTACCAAATGACACTGCATCCGAGATCAGTCAGTAAAAACCTTGTGTAAAAACCTTTCATAGGACAAAAATGTAAGGAAAAGACTTGATCCCATCATGCTAGTAGCCATTTAAGACCTGTTTGATCTACCGCTCTGACCAATTTCGCGAGTAGTAGTAGTTCGCCAGTTAACTGTTTGAGGAGCTAACCTACGTTTACCAGCAGCCTTTGCACCTTCTCTTCGAGCCCAATACAGCTCAATGTGTTTGGCCGAATCAAAGTTTTTCACAGGCTCCCAAGTATCTTCACTAGGATCATCGAACCCTTTCCATTTTACCTTATACTCATAGTTACCAGGAGATCCTCTATGATCAATCACAGCTTGAATTTCGTAATGCTCTGCAGAGAATTCATCAATTGTGATTGGCTGAGGATTCGCAGCGACTTGGTACTTGATATGATGGGTAGGCACATCTCGACTAAGGAGTGCACCCGTCTTGTCAGCCAGCACATAGGAACCTTTATCGGTTATACTATGAATCAAATAAGGTCCTTCATACCGTTCATCTAACTTATTTTGACGATGAACATTTTTAATCATAACTTTACTACCAATAGGATAGGGTTCGGCAATGACCTTATGTTTCTTCGCAAAGTTAGCATGATCAGCATTTTGTGTATCCACAATACGCTTAGAAATAGCCGGGATAAGAACATCTTGTACAAAACGGTATCGTTTGTCAATGAGTCTATTATCAGCTTTCTCCAAACGTTTGGAATAGTCCACCTTTGAGTAATCAGCCAGCCCATTTGGTTGACGATTAAACAAAAGCGTATACGGACGAGATTTATGTAGCCGAGCATACTTGACATTGATGCAGTAATTCACCCACGGAATGAAGTGCTCCCATTGATCCCTCTTACCTTTTAACAACTTGATAGTCGTTAACTTACATATTTTGATAAATGACTCAGAAACCGAGTTACCCAATGGATTGTACCCTAATGACAGGCGATGGTCTATCCCACTGATGTCCATCATAGCACGGACCACCTCATTTATTCATTCCAGGCCTCTGTCTGAAGTCAACTTGATTGGCCATCCAAAAAGTGAGAAAACTTGAAGCATTTCCCTGGCAATTGTCGTAGCCTTCTTGTCTGGAATGCATCTTATCACAGTAAATCTCGTAAAGTAATCAGTAAGGACAAACAGAAAGTTGCTGCCGAAAGAGCTAGTAACACCCATATCACCGAGATCCATGCACCAATGATCCAAAGGTTGGGCTGCATTGACACTACGGAAAGGATGATATCCCTCTCTAGCGATATTGTACCTGTTACACTCGTCACAATCAGCTAATATTCTTTCTATGTCTTTCCGAATGTTCACCCAGTGAAACCCTTCATGATGAATTGCAGTTTCAACATGTTTGATCCCAAAATGTCCAACCAGATGCTGAGCAATGATCATATTGTCTCTTTCATTAGCAGGAGGAGTGACATAGTCAGCAAACCTAAGCGTACGCAATATGAATTCCTTTTGCTTTTGCGAGACAGCTGTGGTGGTGCCATCTTTGATAAGAGTAGCGTTTACCGCAGTGCGTGCATAGTTGCTAGAAGAATTAGATCGTAACGCCTTAGTTGTCTTGACCAAAGTACGTTTCATTGGAGGCGAAGGTGTGACAACCTTGAGTTTGTTTTTGGAACCCTTTTTCTTTCTCTTTACACTTTCACCACCATCAGCATAGTACCTGCCCCCCAGAAGATGTCGTGCTGAAGCATCAGCATCCGAATCTTCGTAAAGTCGAGATAAAGCATCAGGAATTACGTTAAGGACACCGGGCAAATGCACAATATCGAAAGTATAAGAAAAAATGGTCTCCCACCATCCAAGCATGAGTGCATTGGGGACTTCCTGTGTATTCAAGTAGATCAGACTCTTATGGTCCGTATGTAAGGTAAACTCTCGCATATACAGAAAACGATGAAACTTAACCAAGGCATAGCAAATCCCTAGCAATTCCCTTTTCGTAGTACTGTAGTTACGCTCAGAAACAGACAATTTACGAGATACGAGACCTACATATCGAATTTCATCGTTGACCACTTGATATAAAACCGCGCCAAGAGCAGTTAAACTAGCATCAGTAGCCAAGTGAAATCGAATCGAAAAATCAGGAGGTGACAGCACAAGTGCCATCGTAAGTGCATCCTTCAAGTCGGCAATCGCTTTTGTATGAGACTCATTCCAAACATCTGTTAGATCTTTGTACTGTTTCAAGCTATCAAGATCTCGAGTCAGACGAGAATAACATGGAATGGCAGCACGAAAGTACGACATTAAACCCAAGAAAGATGCCAATTGACGACCAGTGGTAATAGCCGGCCAATCTGCAATGTTGGTAAGTTTTCTACCGTCAGGCAGTAATTTACCATTAATAACGCTCCATCCCAAGAGATAAATACTACGCTGAGCGAAGACGACTTTCTCAGGATTGAGCACCAAATTAGCATCGGTTAAACGACGAATTACCTCAGCAACCAACGCATAGTGATCTTGTAGGCTCCCATTACTACTGCATAAGATGTCATCCACATAGCAGGAAACCGAGTGATCACCATCAGTAGGAAACGAAGTAGAACTAGAGCTTGTATTCAAATCAGAGAGCAGTGTTTGCAATGTGCGTACAACCACCGATCCGACATGGCGAATTCCATAAGCAGCCTTTTTATGGGTGTATTGGATATTCGTGAAGGGACAAGTAAATGACACTTTATGAGCTTGCTCTGGATCCAAACCAAAGCTAGTAAAGCAAGCATGGATATCGAGACAAGTATGAATCATTTTTGTACCAATGCTCTGATGGATATGAGAGATCAAAGGTAACTGTTGTTTGTCATCCACTTCCAAGATAGCATTCAACTTACGAACGTCACACACCACTCTAGGCTTAGACATTGTGTAATTACCATCAGCGTCCTTTTTCTTTACAACCAACAATGGATGATTGAAACGTGTATGACTAGCAGATCTTTCAACAACACCCTCATCAAGCCATATCTGAATTTGTTTGGCAACAGCATCACGATAAGCTTCAGGCAAAGGATATTGAGCTCGCCAAGCGACAGCACCTGGTTTAGTATCAAGCTTAATAATCGAATCCGGCAGATTACACTGAGTATTCTTCATATCAATGCGCGAATTCTCTTCTAATAACCCCTTTAGTGCAAGTAGAAACGGTTGTCTCTCTTCCTCACTACCAAAAGGATGTGCGTTTGGAGTAATACCATCATCAATAGGATCTGGTACACGAGGACCTGATTGAAAGCCATGTTGACTCACCAAGCCCGTAAGACCAATGCCAAGCTTGGACAAAATATCCATACCAAGCAATACAGGTACGTTTTCCTCAGAATAGAATGGAAATACTTCAAACAAATGGTTTTTATTTGATTTATTGTAGCTAATGTGCAAACGTACCGCACCTATTCTAGGCACAGTCGTTACTTCATGAGCCATTTGAACAAAGCTCTCATCATCATCATTAGCCTCAAATCCAGCAAGAGAGGTTCCTCCTAAGAATTGAAAGAACTTGTCAGTGACGCACGAAAACGTAGCACCCGTATCCACTAAGCCAAAGCAAATGACATTTTGAACCACAATAGGAACACAAATAGCATTGGTGGTCATAGTAGGTGGAGCACTAAATCTAGCATCGAACTTACATTGCTGAGCAAATATATTTTGTAGCGTATCGTCGTCCACAGACATGCTACTCATCTCTTTTTCAAGAAGAATAGACTGGGCACGATTCACCAGGTCAGTATCCTCAAAGATACCATGAGCTTCACTCATCACAGCATCTTGGTCAACATCAACATTGTCACTATCACCAGAAGAAGGAGCAAGGACAACATCATCCACCGATTGTTCAGCAGAGGAGACAGCAGGGGAAGAAGCA